AAAAAAAAAAGAAAACACAGTCACCTACTGGAGAGCAGCCACAGCTTTCCATTCCCAAGGAGGACCCCACAACTCACCACGAGGGTGGTCTCTTCTTGTACCTTCTCTCCTACCAGCAGGGCCACAGCACTGAGCAGAAAGAAAAGGAAGAGTGAGACAGAGACAGCGAGAAATGGCACAATTCAGACACGAGGCAGAACACTTAGAAAGTCTGTAGGTTGCAACATTAGAGCAAAGGCAAGATCTGAGGAGTGGGCACCAAAGCCACCTGGCAAAGCCTACAAGGATAAAACAGTTTAAAAATAAAGCACTCTAGATGCTGGGTCAGGGTGTAGGGTGAAGTGGTAGGCGTCCCTACAAAGCCATTTGGCATTACCTGGGCTTGGAAGTCTCATTTCTAAGATTTTGACTTCCGGGAAAAGGAAGCTAAAGACAAATGTAGAAAAATACTATTGCACCCGTATTTGGTGATGAAGATTTACAAATGACCTACAACCCCTAAGTAAGGGATTAGTTAAATTTTTTTTTAACGTTTTATTTATTTTTGAGACAGTGAGAGAGCATGAACAGGGGAGGGTCAAAGAGAGGGAGACACAGAATCTGAAATAGGCTCCAGGCTCTGAGCTGTCAGCACAGAGCCCGACGCAGGGCTCGAACTCACGGACCGAGAGATCATGACCTGAGCCGAAGTTGCTTAACCGACCGAGCCACCCAGGCGCCCCAGGATTAGTTAAATTATGGCATATACACGCAGTGGAATACCATGCAGCCACTAAAAAGGTTTTTGGGGAAAATAATCCATAATGTCAATGCCCAAAACGTGATGAGCTGAAAACAGCACGGAATAAGAGTACTTGCAATCTCCAAAAAAGAGAGACACTGGACAGAACATTACATGTTAACGCTGGTTACCTGTGGATGGGAGAATTACGGGTGCTGCTTACTTTTTCGATTATACTTCAAAAGTTTTTTCCAAACTTAACAATTCGTGTGCATTTTGCAATCAGGTGCAATAAAAACACGAACTGATAGCCTGTTTTTGCACCTCTGGAGCAAACCTCAAGACCACACGGCTCGGGCCATCTCCTGGGTAAACGTCTGCGAAGAACACTGGACTCCTTTCAGGGCAATGTTAGGCGTACAGTGTGTCAAGAGAAGGGGCTATGTCTGAAGAGATAGTTGTGGTGGCGACTCAGGCGGGGACATGTGTCTGTCATCCCCGCCTTCTCTTCCCGCGGAGCCCCTGCGATACCCACCTCACCCCATTGGGCCTCTTCCTCAAGTTCTGCACCTCGCGGGTCTCCTCCAGTTTTAATCTGCAAAGAGGCAACGCACAGTCTGAGACACCCTCCGCGGAACTCAGACTCAAAAGGCACCTTCGACCGGCATCCCTGTCCAACTGCTGAGCCACAGGCACAATGATCCAGAAGGCAACCCTGCGCTTAGACCCATTGCAATCAGACCCACCGCGCATCCTGGGGGAATCTCTCGCTACTGTGCGGCCTTGCGGCGGCGGCCTCAGCCCTAGGAGCCTCAGTTTTTTGTTCTGCAGAAAGGGACAACAACCTCGGCTCACAGTCAACGAGGAGCCTGGCCGGTGATGAGTATCACAAACCGCTGTCTCTTCCGGCCCCTTGGAAGCCCCACCCCAAACGCACCGAACCTCCTCTGAGTCCTGCTCATCTTCCTCCGACTCCGAATCGGCCCGGCGCCGGCGGAAACTCTTCCCGGTGACCGGCATGGTCTTGCCGGCCCCGCGGTCCAGCCGCCGCGCCCCTGTGCCGTGGCCCGGGTTGCTTCCGGCGCGCAGCAGTGAGGTCAGAGCGCGGAGCGCCGGCACCGCCCTGCCCCGCCCCAAACCCTTCTGGCCCCGCCCCCGGCCCGCACTGCCCGCCTGGCCCCGCCCCCATCCGTGGCGTTCTCCTCTTCCGATTGGGCAGCTGAGGGGGAGGAGGCGGGACGCAGCCAGGGCCCCACGGCCCTGCGCGGTGCAGCTGTGGGTGCGCTTGACTGACAGGCGGCGGCAGCGCGGTTGCGACGGCAGGTGAGTTCCGGGCTGTCGCCGGCTGCTTCTGGGGGCCGGGCCTCTCCGAGCAGGGGCGACCCCAGCCTGGCTCCGGACGGGCTGGGGTCTGGCCCTGCCAGGAGCGCAGAACGCCGCTGCCAGGTGAGCGGCCGCCGCCGTCCTCTCCCCTCCTCCGGCCGGCGCTCAGGGGGTGTCCTCTGGGGCCCCGGTGCCCCACTTGGAGCCCTGGGGGCTCGTTGTTTCTCCGGAACGGGGGCCGCCATCTCCTTTATTTCTGCGGGGCCTGACCCAGCGTTGAAAGCACGAGCGTGGCGTCTCGGGGCGCTGACTTATTTCCCCAGGGTCTGGGCCCTGGCATGCGTTTTTTCCTTTAGGGATAAAAGATGACCACTTCTTAGCAGTGGTGAATTAAAGTCCTGGCGCCGACTGCCCCGCTAATGATGGCCTCCAGCCAGTTTATCCCCGCGTCCGATGTTTTGAACCTACTCCGGAGGGTTTGAGGGCGGACGGCCCCTCCTCGGGTGCTTGCCGGCCGCCTCCCCGGACCTTCAAGGGGCCTTGTTTTCGTCCTCTGTCATTAGGACTGTTGCTCTGCTCTCCGCCGTTTACACCCCCCAGGATGCTGGGAGGGTTAAGTTTATTTGAAAAACAAAACAAAACAAACAGGCATCAACGAACGCTTAGGAAATAACTAAATGTGTAAATAATGGTTTACAGGACTTTTAGGGACCTCTTAATTTCCCTTTTCTCCATATAGGCCCATCCCTTTCTTTGAAAGCATTGCGCCTTTTTAAGCGCTACCGTGTGGCAGGCTCGGGGCTCACCTAAGCGTTATCTCAGTGAACTCCCACAGCAGTCCCACGAAGTAGACGGCGTTCTCTCATTTTGCAGATGAGAAGACTTTGGTTCAGAGAGGCAGTAGGTGCCTAAGGTTGCACAGCTGGAAAGTGGAGCGGGGATCAGTGGCAGGCCCCACTCTGCTGCAGGTTATGCAGAGTGCCTGGCACAGAAGCTCCCTAAGTGTTTGCTGCAGCTCCTGTTGTAGCCCATTGGCTGGGGGGCGTGGGGCCGGGGGGTTTGCTGATGGAGACTGGTTTCCTCTTCTGGAAGACCATTCAGAAGTAGGGCGGCCCTTCTGGAATGCCCTACGGCTCTCTGGAACAGGCTTTCCTGATAATTGCTGTTCTCTTCCCTGGACTGAGACAAATGGACCCAGGACTTCTTGGAACAGCTTTTTGGCTTTGGTCAAAAGCTGTATATGAAAATCTCCAAGCTTTGCCTTCTGCAGTCTCGTTCAGCCAACCCCAGAGGCACCTGGGAATCACTGGCCCTCCTGTCCCTGCTGACTGAAGGGGAGGATCCTTGGGAATTGCTGCAGGAAGCCAGGGAGTCCACGTCTGCAGATGTCACACTTTCAGAGGTGGCTCTGATTTTGCCCACCCCCACCCCCGCAGCGACCCTCCCACTAGGAGGTACTGGACAGCACTAGAGAGAAGGCCAGAAGGCCAAGGACATTTCTGGACCCTTCTTCTCCTCTGACATCCCGGGGAAGAGCGTCCAGTACAAATGAGTTGGCCCAGTGCCACTCACCAGCTGGGCCATGACAGATCTGAGACCTGTTTCACCAAAGTAATGCTAGAAAAGCAGCAGCTGTGAATCTGGGTGGCTGGGCTGAGGGGCTGCGGACTCTCTAAGTCTTGCTGGGCCTTTTGGGGGGTGAGATGAAGTTGCTTCTCATAGGGAGCCTCCAGGAAATTTGGGTTCTCTTCAGTTCGGAGATGTGTCATGTTTTCGTTTTGTTTGAGAGTTTGGTTGTTTAAGGACATGGATGGATTTGGCTCAAATTGGGGTTGGTTTGCTAGCTCCTTTCTGGAACCAGGCTTGCTACAGGGTTTAGGGAACATTCGTGTCTAGGTCGATTTGGGACCCGGCAAAGTGATTGCAGTTCACAGCTGGGCCGTAATAAGTGTTCGATAAAAGTTTGCTGGACTGACTTACTTCCTCAGCTATTTACTGAGCGTTTACTATATGGAGCAGGCACTGTTCTAGGTGCTTGAAGTATGCCAGAGTGCAAAAGAGACAAAGATCCCTGATCGGTGGACTTCAGGTTCTAATAACACAAGTATGTCAAGTGTCTTAGAAGGTGATGAGGGTTAGGGAAACAGAGCAAGGCAAAGGAATCACGAGTGGGCGGGGGGATTGAGTTGCACATTTAAATTGGTGTCTTCTCATTTGTGATTTGGTCGGTAACATTATAAAACAGGGGACTGAAGTATAGGTCCTGACCCTCAGTTCAGGCCCCAGTTGTGCCAACTTAGCACGTGACTCCCCCCCTGAAGTTCCCATTCTGCCATCTGTTGGTTGTGTGACCCTCTCTGACCCTCTCCTGTTTTGGGGTTTTAGGGGTCTTAGTCTGAGTTTCTGCTTCTACTTACTTACTCCAGGAGTTATGGCTTCTTGGAGACCTGGGCCACTTACTGCTTCCAGCCTGCTCACCCCCAAGAACTGCCAGCCTGGGGTGGCCCCGAACCCCTGCCCTTTCCAATTAACTGACTCTCCCAGAGCCTGGAACAAATTGCAGTGCTAGGCTTCAGAGGTGTTATCCTAGACTTCAGAAGTTTAAGCTGAGCAGAAAAATGCTCTGTGTGAAGCATGCCTCAGAGGTGGCTCTTGTGAAGGAGGCCAGAGGAAGCTGCCCTCGGAATGTGGGTGTTTGGGCTGGAGGAGGTAAAGATCATCCCCCACTCCAGGCTGGCCGGGGCTGTTTGGGGAGACTGTGGAGCAGACAGTTGAGAGCACTGACTTCAAGGCCAGCAGTCCTTGGTTCAAACCCTGGATCAGCAGCTCAGCAGCTCAGCAGCTGTGTGACCTCCAGCCACTTACTGCACCTCTCTGAGCCTCAGCCTCTCCTCCTTTCGTGACGTAGGTGGAGATGGGTTTAACTCCCATTGTTGCCTGGCTTCCAGGATGGTGGTAAGGATTTGGTGAGGTCTGTTCATATCAGCTCCATTACACCGGGCCATTTCCAGGCAGACACTAGGTGGGTAAGGCCAATGAGGAGAAATAGAGGTGTGGGGGGAAGCAAGACTTTTCAAGGCAGGAGTAGGCTGAGGGGCTCTGCTTTGGGAGTCAGGAGGATGGCGGGCTCTTAGGGAATTAAGACTGGGTTGACAGAAGGGATGTATTTGGGTTTTAAGAAAAATGGAGTTGCTTGGAGGTAGGATGGAGAGAAGAGGGCAGGAGGGAGGGAAGGGGGACACGTTCTGAGGGTCAGAGGGGCGTGGAGGGATGTTGGGCAGGGGTGTGGGATGGCTAGTGTGGCAAGGATCGGGGCAGGTGGGTGTCTCCCTAAGTTGGCGGGGGCTTGGCAGGACCCCCCTCCCATCCTAAGGAGCTAGGCTCCTAGCCGGGAGGAGGGCGTAGCCAGAACGGCCAGGAAAATGATGAGTAATGGGCACTCGAGGCCCGGTCTGAGCAGCTGGTGCCAGGCCCAGAGATGCTGCCTGCCTGTCCCCGGGCAGGGGGCACTTTCCTCCTTCCTTGCTGTAGGCCCCGGGGTGGGGGGGGTGGGGTGGGGTGGGGAGGGGAAGTGCCTGCCCTCCTTCAGGCTGAACAGTCTCAGAAGCCTCGCCAGGGCCTGAGCTGGGTGGGCCCTGTGCCAGGCCTGCCAGGGCCTCCCTCCCCCTGCTTTTTCTGCCCCAGGAGAGGAGGCTGGCCTGGCTGGCCGGGAAGGGGAGGTGCCCTGGCTCCCTGGCTGTGGCAGGTGCCTTGCTGACTCCCAGCAGCCCGGCTGCTCCCGGAGGGCCTGTTCCTGGGATCTAGCTCCCTCGGCCGCACAGGTCTCTTTCAGTCTTTATCAAGTGCCTGCTGTGTGCACTGCATTTACTTGCACAGAAGCCAGAGCAGGAAGCACTGTGAAGGCAGATACAAGCCGGCTCCTTCCTGGCTGTGTCCTCGCCGTAGGGTCTGGGGCAAATGGCTCCCTGTGCCAGGGGCTCCATTCTTCCTCAGACGAGAAACAGCAGTCCTTCCGTGAAGAGTGTAGGCGAAGCACCGGGCGTAGCGACTGCTCAGAGGCAGTGCTGTCCTGGGCAGCGGAGCCCTGGCTGAAAAGCTGATGGAGGGTACCCTTGGGCGTGTGACTCGCAGTCCCGCCTGTCTCAGTTCCCCGATCTAAAAAACGGCCAGTAACCCAAATTACGGTACAGAACATTTCTGAGCGTTCTTGCTGTGCGGGCCAATACAGACCTGTGATCGGAAGCCATTATGTGAAATCGGCCCTGTGCATTGTCTCTCTGCACTCTCTTCGTCACCCTCCTCGCTGTCTTTGTCCCCATCTCATGGATGGGGGAACTGAGGGGCGACCGACTTATCTACCGACACAGAGCTTAGCAAGCGCCGAGCGAGGAGCTGAAGGCGGGCTGCTGGTGTCTCTTCTTGCCTTCTGTAATTACAGTCAACTCCGGGGCTGATGTATGGTGCAGCGGACACAGGGTGGGAGCCCAGGAAAGGGTGGATGACGTAGTAATGATCACCTCCCGGAGGCTGCATGCGGGTACCCTGGTGTTGAGATACAGGCCTCTGGACCCCATGAGGGCAGGGCCCACGCCCAGCACGTTTTCCGTTGCCCCAAGCCAAGCCAGTTGGGTACCGAGATAAAACAACATGCAAACTCCTAGGGAACCGAGATAAACGAACTACAGCCCTTGCAGACCAGGCACTTCTGATGGTTCAGCTCCTGTGTGCGCAGTAGTAAACGCCCACAGCTCCTGGCAC